TAAAATCTGTTTTAAAATTTCGTTGATGCTTTCGATTTTACATGTTTGGTACTGTGGACTTCAATTTAGCCTCTTATTACTTCTTATACTCTTTAATCGTGTTTTTTTTTTTGCCTTATTGAATTACCTGCTTTGTTTAACTTCAAACTTTCTGCTTTTAGGAAATAGCAGAAAAAATTAAAGAATTACGAGATGCTTCTGATTCTGAAATGCAGGAAATATGCCCGTATGATGTCGGAGCGTTTCTTTGGCACTACAGGAGGGAAAATGCAGAAAAAGTTGATAAACATATAACTTTTTTGCGGGTTAGGAGTATTCATTATTAAATGGCAATTCCCGCAGAAATTGGCAAGTGTGTATAGTCTGCCTGTGTGAACTACGAGGTGGCAAGAGAAGCTGCGGTTTGAGATACTGCATCTAGCAGAGGATCTGGTCAGCAGTGTCTTATTCCGTCTTTCAAACTGCCTGTGTTCAGCCTTACATGACTGGAGCTGAAGAGGTTTAGAAATGGGTTATGGAATCGTGCCTTTCTTTTGCTAACATTTAAAGCAAAGGAATTCTGTTCAAATTTTTTCTAAACCATTCCTTTTCGGTGTTTACTAACTTTCTGGTAATTCCAGAAGAATTTTTTTTTTTCTTTGAATAAATATAACGAGACGCTTTGTAGATTTCATGGTCGTTCCTGCAACAAAACTCTTGATTTCTAAGTATCATAGGGGGCACAGTGTTTTAGGCTTCTGTTGGTCAAAAGGGTTTGTAAGGTGGTCATCATCTTCATTAATGATTTCAATCTACCCTTGATGATTTTCTCTGTTTTGTTTAAAAGTGGCTGTTGAAGAATAGAAGAGGGGATGCTTATAGAGAGTTTATTATTATTATTATTTGGGAGGGTAAATTTTCAGATGTTAGCTGGAATAGGGGCAGCAGTTGTGATCCTGGTGATTATAACTTGTGTTAACTTCTATCTGTATATATTTGTTCTTAAGTTTTAATCGTCTTAATTTCCCAGCTCATGTATTGAGTTTTGAAGCTTTATTTTACTAAAGATTTCTATTTTGATTTGACTTTTAGTTTTGCTTTTTCATGTACAGAATATTATTTGCTTACATTTTATTATCATGTCATTTTTATTGTTTTTGTAATACTTTGTTTTATTCTAGTTAACTTATTTCTTTGTTTTGCTGTTTGAATACTGATGTTGTCAATTGTTTTACGTTAATAATTCCTTTGAGCGTTGCCGTTAGAACTGTAGTAGCTGGCGCTTCAGTGTTTTCAGTGATACCAAAACCCATAAAAGGTTTTGAAAGTTGGCCCTGACTTGATTGCATGATTAGGATTGGCGTGGTAATTATTCTGTGCAGACTGCTTGAAATATTTTGATAGCATTTATCTAATTGAAATTTCAGTATGTGTATTATCATTTCCGGTCTTGTTGTGTGCAGAGAGCTTGTGTAGTTTTTTGCATTCTGCACTGATAACGGTCTATCGTAACTGACCTAAGGAATTGAAGGTAATATTAGAACGAGGACGAAGAAAGTTGGGCGAACTAAGACGTCTGACACTAAGAGAGGCACTATGTGGGAATGTTTGCTAGTTTTCTTCAGCGCTGAGTCCATGCTTTTCTGTTTTAAGGTCGTTCCGTGTGCAATAACGACGGCTTGGAGGCAAAGTTTGCGGCAAAGAGCGACTTTGGAAGCGAGTTCACTTGACCGAAGCAAGACTGTAAGTGTCGCAATCGCTTGTTTACAAAGAATTATTCTTACTGTTTTCTTAGTGTCTTTTAAACACTGATCAGCTTGGTTTACTGTAACCACGTAATTGGAGTAGAATGAAGTGAAAATAGAATAGGTGGTGCAGTCTGGTATTGGAGTAGTTTTGCTTTGGCGACTTTTTCGGAACTGATGCACTCTGTCAACGGAACTTTTAGAGGAACCTGAAATTTTCAAGATTTTAAAGGAGTATTCTATTCCACGTCAAATTTTCACTTGGTTTTGCAGACTTTTGTTAAGCTGTTAAACATTTGCAAACTCAAAACTGGTAGTTTTTGAATGCAGTTTGAGAGGCCGGAAATTGTACCTTTAGAAAGGCACTGATTTTAAATTTATCTATGCTAAATACGGAAAGGAGTTACTCCTTAACGTTTAATTGCCTAGGAAACCGTGTTCTTATTTAGTCAGGGCTGGTTTTTTAATCTTTGTCCTTTAAAATATCGGGGGGGGGGGGGGG